CACTAACCATGTGATCATGACCTGAGCCGAAATCAAGAGTGGTATGCTTAACCGAATGAACCACCTAGGCACCTCTGTCAAATTAAAAAAAATAAAACTAAAGGGGTGCCCAGGTGGCTCAGTAGGTTAAGCATCTGACTCTTGGTTTCAGCTCAGGTCATGATTGCATGGGTTGTGGGATGGACCCTGAGTATTCTCTCTCCCTCTCTCTCTCTGCCCCTTCCCCACCTGCACTTTCTTTCTCTCAAAATAAATAAATAAACTCAAATTAATAAATAAAAAATTTGACAAGGGTGCTTGGGTAGCCAGCTCAGTTGGTTAAGTGTCTGACTCTTAATTTCAGCTCAGGTCATATCTCACAGTTAACAAGACTGAGCCCCCATAGGGCTCTATGCTGAGCATGGAGCCTGCTTGGGATTCTCTCTCTCCCTCTCTCTCCTCCTGCTCTGCTCTCTCTCTCTCTCGAAACAAATAAACAAACATTAAAAAATTAAAAACATAAAAACTTCACAAATGCCATTAGGATATGGTCCCATTTAAATGGGAAATAAAATTACAGGAAATGATGCGAGTTATCTAAAAAAACAATAAGCAGTTTCTCAAACTATATAGATAATACTTATAACACTCAACTTTGAATTGAAAATAGTCAATTACTGCCTTTACTTCAGGATTTTTCACTTACGGAAATAAAAAAATTTGGCTTACTTAGTATAGCCACCAAGGTAAAGGTAGTGTATACCAAATCTCATATTTGTTCCTAGAATTAGCAACTACAGTTCTTTCTGCTAACCCACATAAGTAAATCATAACGCAAATGTGTTTTAGAAACTGCTGGACTGGAACCTGGGTAGCTCAGTTGGTTAAACGTCCAACTTCAGCTCAGGTCATGATCTCTCAGCTCATGAATTCGAGCCCCTCGTCCAGCTCTATGCTGACAGCTCAGAGCCTGGAACCTGCTTCGCATTCTGTGACTCTGAATCCGTCTCTCTCTGCCCCTCCCCAGCTCATGCTCTGTCTCTGTCTCTCAAATAAACATTAGAAACCCGTGGACTAAAGGTCTCTCCCATCACTCAAGCGTCTAGGAAGAAAAAAAAAAAAAAAA